GTGAACAAGGGTTTAGTATAGATAGTAAACATGTGTGATGATAAGATAAGGGTGTGACAGAAGTAATTAAGGGTGTGGACAAGCTAATAGAAGTCATTATAAAAGACAGAAGTCTGGTATAGAAAGACCAGATGGGAAAATGCTGATTATGGAGTACATAAGAACCAGCAGAATGGCAGTTCACCGCTCGGGGCAATACCAGAGCCATCGCAGGAGGGAGAGTGACTTCCTCAGTAGGGCAGCTAAGATGTATATCCATCCTCACTCTCTCTAGACTGCACCCAGGTCTGGTGGCGGAGACCCCATTTCGAGGCGGGCAGTCTTGGGAGTGATCTCACTCTAAACCCATAGTTCGCAGCGTGGTACTCCATCTGCCTGGAGCACCCAAGGTGTCCTTGAGGTAAGGTAATGGCCATCGGTGGCCTATACAGGTAGTAGCTGGCACTTTCTGGAGACTCCGGGTACCAGGGATCAGTCAGCAGTGGCAGGTTGTCTAAGGTAACCTGGCGCTGGTTCCATTAAGCTTCCTTCCGTGGAGTCTAATAGAATAAACTCTGATATTGCCACGACCAACTTGAAAGTGTCACTACAGACCTGTCAGGAGAACTGCAGACACTGGGATTGTTCACAAGCTCCTCCCTGACACTGGCTGATAAGTACTAACTCTGTTTATCTCCTCTTGCTTGCATAAGTCCTTCATGTGTGGAGGCAGCCACCCTTGGTTCCTGGATATTCTCATGTATTAATAATCCTGACATTGCAGAAAGACACCAGTTTTGAGTGGAGTGATCACTCATCACTGCCTCCTCAAACAGGCACCCAGGCTCCTAGCAGGTGCTCAATAAATCTGGGGAGTGACTGAAATGTAATAAAGGTGTCCATTCTTCTCTGTTTCTAGCTCAGGGTGTCTGGGCCAGGCAAGCCCTAAAGTTCAAGCACAACCTAACATACCCACCTTGCCCCACCAAGGGTTCTGAGATCCCCTTAAAACAGTAGCTTTCAAAGTTATTTGGCCAAGACCCTCAATAAGAAATATATTCTCCTAGTGCTTACACATGTATATAACTGAAACAAACAAAATCTTATGAGCAATGTTTCCTCCTTCCTTCTTTTCCTTCCCTCCCTCCCTCCAGGCCTTCTCCCAGTCTCCATTTCTCCCTGTTTAGCAGTTAGTCTCCACCCCTTGAATTGAAGTCATTACCTACTATTGCCTTAGGGTGTGTTTCTAAAAATGCTCAGAGGCTCCCTTGCATCCTAATCTTGGGGCAAAGATTACAAACAGCAGATTTATGGTTCCACTCCAGATTTAGTGGAAAAGAATTTGAGGCTCTATAAACCTTGAGAGCTGCCACTTGGGTTTATGAGTGTCCTAGGCCTCTTGGGGAGGCATGTGTATAGGGTCTGATGCACATTGGGGGAGTGGTTGATGCTCCCATTCCAGTCCAGCTCAGCCCCTGAGTGTGGAACCATTGGTTCCAGTTTTTTAAAAAGTAAATCCACTCCTGGGTCTCTGGAGGAGAGCTGTTACATTGTGGGGATTGCAATCAATTTCATGAAACAGAATGTATATGAACTGTTGAATGGGAAATGAATTTTCTCTGTAAACTTTCACCCAAATCACACACACACGCACACACACACAAAGTAAATCCTCTACATTTTAGCCTCTTCCTCTTGCTAGTGCTTCTACTTGAATTAATTGCTTGTAATGATTTTGTACTTGCTTTTCTAACTCCAGAAAAAGGAGGTCTGGTGGCACAGTGCCTAAGGCATTTGACTGCTAACCAGAAGGTTGGTGATTCAAACCCATCAACCACTCTGCAGAAGGAAGATGACTGCCATAAAGATTTACTGCTTCTGAAACCCAATGGGGATTGCAATGAGTCAGGATCGATTTCAAAGCAGTGGGCTTGGTTCGGGTTTGGTTTTTCTGACTCCAGGGAGCTCTTGTGGAGAACACTATGGGGCAGTTCTACTCTGTCCTAGGCATCACTGTGAGCCAGAATCTACTCAATAGCGGGGTTTTTTTTTTTTCTGACTCCAGCCCTCTGACAGTCACAGAAGCCTTCAGAGCCACACCCAACCAAGGGGTCCCACCTTCCCCCAAAACTAGAACCTTTTCTCTTCCCTATCCCCATTACCTTTTTTCTCTTTACCCTTCACACAAAAAGCATCTCTTGTTCTATTTTCCCTTTTTCTTCACTAGGCTTAATAGCTGCCCTCCCATGCTCCCCCCCCCCCAAAAAAAAACCACCCAAACCCACTATCGTTGAGTTTCTGACTCATAGCAACCCTATAGGACAGAGTAGAACTGCCCCCATAGAGTTTCCAAGGCTGTAAATCTTTACGGAAGCAGACTGCCTCATTTTCCTCCCACCCCAGCAGCTAATAGGTTCTAACTGTCGACATTTCCAGTTAACATCTGAGCACTTTAACCACTGCACCACGAGGGTTCCTCCTCAGTCATTAGAACATAGAAAAATTCAAACCACAGTGTGGTCTCTGCTGTCACCAGTTTCTATTCTCACCCCTAGAAGAGGGTAAATGCAGTTATGAGGTCATCATCCTCCCACCAACACTGGAAACCTTTTTTTTATGCTATGAATGCTTCACCCCCCTTGCCAAAGAACTTCACACAACTTACACTCTCCAAACTTACAAGTCTACTTACAGATCCTCAACACACAATACACTTATTAGCCCCAGCTGCACTTTGCAGACAAGATCTCACTTGGTTCCCCCAGCAGCCCTCTAAGGTAGGTAGTATAGTATCAGTTCATAGATGAGAAAACTGAAACAGAAGGGCTAAATAACCCGACCCAGGTCACCCAGCTTTAAGTGCTGGGAATTGACCCATTGATCCTGGACCCCACTCTGTGTTCTCTCTTGCCACAAGTGTGGTATTTTTATGTTCGGGGTGACAATGTACCCACACTGATGATGATACCATCAAGTACTATTGTGGGAGCTCTGTGGCTGTTGGCTGCCTTTACTCCTCAGGGGCTGAAACTCTAGGGATAAGAGAAGCCCCACTGTGCCCTGGGATGTAATGATGTCTCACTTTCAGGTTTTGCTGTCTTGTGTCCAGTTCTGGTGAACTCAAAATCCCCTCTAACAGCCAAGACTGGGTCTTTCTCACTTAAGCTGAGTTCCTTCCTCAGCCCTCTGCCAAGACCTTGAAAGGCAGAGGCTGGGGGTCTGGGGGCAGTTCTCTCCATGCATGTCCAGACAGACTGGATCCCCGCCAGAGGCCTCAATCCAGTGGTTTCTAATGACCAGATTCTGGATTTTCAAAAGCCCTGAGACAGCCCAGGTACATGTCGTTGTTGTTGGTAGTTGTCATCGAGTTGGCCCTGACTCATGGCAACTTAACGTTTAACTGAAGAAACATTGCCTGGTTCTGCTGGGTACGTTTGATTTCATTGTTTGGGCATCTTCCAGCATTGTATTGGACAACATTCTATGGTGATCCATAGGGTTTTCATTGCTTAATTTTTGGAAGTAGTGTGCCAGCCTTTCTTCCTAGCCTATCTTATTCCAGAAGCTCTTCTGCAATCTGTCCACCATGGGTGACCCTGCTGGTATTCCAAATATCAGGAGGACAGCTTACAGCATCATGGTTACATGCAAGCCACCATGGTACTTACGACAGACTGACACGTGGGTAGTGGCAGAAACATATTAGCAGTGGTTATTTCTGGGGGTGGGAGTTTCTTCCATGTGCTTATTTGCATTTTCTATTTTCCTCAATAAACATGCATTACTTTGTTTACAATGCTAGTAAAAAAGAAAAGAAAAACCAAAAATTCAAATTAAGAAAAATTGGATGCAAATACTTGGGGAAAATCAGCCTAACACAGATGTTTCTCATTGTGCTGTAATGGCCAATGAAAAAATTATTAATCATATTAACCCTAAATCGCACTGTCTGGGTTCTGATCTCATTGCTACCACTTAGTAACTGTGATCCAAACAAGTTACTTAGCCTTCATAAAAATAAGGATCCTAACAGTATTTTCCTCATACTATCAGCAGAAACAGGGACTACAACTGCTGTCTAGGCTCTGGCTTTTTACGTGTTTCCTCATTTTACAGCCGAGTCCCTGGACAGTACTCTGTCAATGAACAGCCAAGTAGGACTGGAGCGATTTCTCTAACGCTGCCTCTCAAAAAGGGTTGTTGTTAAGATTAAATGATAGAATGGTTGTAAAGAGTTTAGCAAAAGCCCGGCACCTAATAAAACCTATGCCCTCTAGCGTAGTGCCTAAGGCATTTGACTGCTAACCAGAAGGCTGGAGGTTCAAACCCACCAGCCACTCCTTGGAAGGAAAGTTGGGCAATCTACTTTCATAGTGATACTGCCTCGGAAACTCAAGGAGGGGTCGCTATGAGTCGGTCCAACTGGACGGCACATAACAACAACAATCTTTACGAAAGCAGACTGCCACATCGACCATTTGGTTCTCAGCCAAGCGCTTTAACTGCTGTGCCACCCGGGCTCCTGGCACTTAATAAGTGTTCGATGAAGTTTCTTACAAAAACCACTTGCTGTTGACTCGGATTCATTGCGCCCTCCTGTGTGTCGGAGTACAACTGTGCTCCGAGGCTTCCAATGGCTGGTTTTTCTGAAGTGAATCACCAGGCCTACCTTAGGGGCCCCTCTGGTGCACTCCAAGGCCGACCTTTCAGAATAGCAGGCGAGCTCTTAAACCCTTTGGACTCGTGAAGTTTCTATGGTCATCTTTAATACCGGTATTTAAAAAAAAAAAAAAAAAAAAACCGCGTACAATGCTATTAATTCAGCAAAAAATAAAAAAAAAGACCGCCAAAAGTCTCAGGGCTGAGGCCAGCAGATCTGGCCGCACGTACGATCAGAGTTCAAGGGTCTCTCCCCCCGGTGGCAGGGAGCTAGGCAAGAGCAAGCGCAGCGCCCGGGGCGGTGGCGCGCTAGGCGGCGCTGGGGGCGCGGTCAGGGAAGTCCCGCCCAGCAGCCACCTGCGACAGGTGGAGCGCCCGCGCTGTGATCCGCACTCGGCAATGTCCGCGGAGGGTGCGGGGCCGGGGCTGGGGTCCGAACCCGGGCCCCAGTCGGGGCCGCTCTGCCCCGAACACGGCCAGCCTCTGAGTTGGTTCTGCTGCTCCGAGCGGCGGCCGGTGTGCGCCGCCTGCGCGGAGCTGGGCGGCCGCTGCCGGGGGCACCGCATCCGCCGGGCCGAGGAACGTGCTGAGCAGCTGCGGGTGAGCTAGCGAGGGCACCGGAAGGGGGGTGGCGCCAGAGGGTGGCAGCCCCGGGGCCACGCGCCAGGGCGGCGCGCCAGGCCCGACAGGCCCAAGGGGGAGCCTGGGTCCGGTGGACCCGACGGCAGGTCCAGAAGCCCAGGCACCTCGGTGACGCTGGCTGTAGAACAAGGCTTAGATTAAGGATGTGGCTGGAGTTCGAATCTCACCTCTGAGTTTGCATCTGCGCCTCTGTTTCTTCATCTGTAGTTTTGGGCAGTAATAACTCATGGTTATTAGAATTGCTGTGCGATACAATAAGATTATGGGTGAAATGCTGTTTAGCCGTCAGGCCTGTCATAGTTAAGCTCAAGGAAAGGTGTTTCGGCAGATCCAGCCTCCCCCTCTTCCATTGCTCGGTGGAGGGAGAGGAGAGCTGAGGTTGGCCTTGGGCAGTACCGGGCTCCGTCGCCCGGCTCCTCTGGGCCAGTGTGCCTGACACGGGCCCCTATGGAAGCTGACCCTCTGATAAAACCCGGGCCCTCCTCACCACTCGTCCCTGGACTCAAAGCTCCTCCCTCCACTCTTCTGACTTCCGGGTGAGGTGATTGCTTCTGCCTCGACTGTGCTTCAAGCTGGTGTCACCAGGATAAACTGACAGGGCAGGGGGGATGTCGGGAGGTTCCTGCCCCAACCCTTCACGGAGGGTTTCTCCTAACCACCACTGCAGCTGGGCTCCAGGTTGGTCTCCTTCCAGTCACCACCCTTCTCATGAGCCGCTGAGGTTAGGGAGTTCACCCTGGGGCTTCCTTCCTCCTTCCACCCTAAGCTGTGATCCCTGGGGGATTTCCTTGCAGTTGCTTGACTCTCCCAACACCACTACCCTGGTGTCCAGCAGTACTTTGAGGCCTGAGGGGCTTTATGTACTTAGACTGGACTGTAATTAACACACTTGACATGGACAAAGGAGCTCTGGTGGCATAGTGGTTAAAACACTCAGCTGCTAACTGAAAGGTTCAAACCCACCAGCTGCTCTGTGGGAGAAAGATGAGGCAGTCTGCTTTCGTAAAGATTTACAGCCTTGGAAACCCAATGAGGGAGTTCTGCTCTGTCCTGTAGGGTCTCTATGTGTCAGAATCCACTCCATAGCAGTGGGGTTGGTTTTTTTTTTTTTGGTTACAAAGTGCTGAGGCCACAAAGCTCTTGTTGATCTTAACTGTCACCACCACTATCAACACTGATGCTGATAATCAAGTAACACCATACACTATGTGTTATAATAAACTTGTGTAACAACAGAGAGAAGCTTTGCAAATTCCAAATTACTTAAATAACCATCATCTCATTCTATCCAGATCAAGCCTTCAAAGTGGAAGCCCTACCTACATTTTACAAATGGGGATACTGAGGCCTGGAGTAGGGCACTTACTCCTCTAAAGCTCCTAAGATTCAGGGGTGGACCTGAGGAGTCATTGATTAAGCAGGAGGAAGTAGTTGGAGGGGGGAGGTGATGCTAAGGGGAGTGAGAATTTCATGAAAACCTTAAAAAAAAAAAAGTTGCCACCAGAGTTGGGTCTGAGTGGCTGAAGGGCTAAGGGCTAGGGCATAGTGTCAGACCTGGTTCTCATTTAGGAGTGCACTGCCCCAGGGTGCCTCCATTGTACCTTCCTGAGGCCTTGAGTAGCCTTATCTCTCTTAGGCTAACCGGATAAGTGTCTTGCCTTCCCTCCCTCTATTTTGAGTAGGTAAGTCTTTTGCAGACTCCTTCCCCAATCCCTTCAGCCAGCAAAGAAATTTCACCCCAGGACAAAATTGTGGCACTAACTAAACCAGTACCAGTTCACCTCCTGTCCTGCTAACCTTTATTCCTCTGCCATGCAGCTTTTCAAAAGCTGCTCTCATTTCCCTCAGTCCCTGTGGTGTGTGACGATCACAGCATCTTCCTAGTCAATTCCGTTCTATAGCTTTTTATTTGGATTTGTGAAATGTAAGCCTAATTTCCTACTTTTGGGAGAAGGGGTTTTTAAGGGCTTCCTGGAAGAGGTAACTGGGTTGCCTTTGGCAGATGGAACTGGGGCAAGGCTCCTAGGAGAAGGAGTTTGGATGGGAAATAGAGGAAAGGCTGCTTGGAAGGGCTCCAGTTGTAACCTGGAGAGATGGAGTGGAAGAATAGGAGTTCGGCCATGTCTCCCCGGGCAAATCACGTTTCTGTGGGCCTTAGCGTCCCCATTTCTAAAGCCCTTTTCTTGCTTGCATGGGTGATGCTCATAGCTTTGGCGCCTGTAAATGGCTAAATCTTTGTGATCAAGGCAGTGAGTGTGCATTCAACAAATATTTATTCAGGACCTTCTATGTGCAGAAACTCTTCTAGACAACAGGACACAGCAGAGAGCAGGCCTAAGTCACAGTGCTTATGTTCCAGTGGTGGGGGGGCAGATAGCACAAAACAAAGAAGTAAACATAATATGCAGGCCCAGAGTCTGGCTGCAAAGGAGAAAAATAAAGCAAAGGAAGGGAATGGGGAGTGGCCGGGGAAGGTCTCTCTGAAAAGGTGACACTGAAGCACCTGAGTGGAGGGTGTGTGTGTGTGGGGGGGGTGAGTAGCATGCAAAAATATGGGAAAAGATTGTTAGAGGCAGAAGGCGTGGGTAGAGCCAAGACACTTATGTCAGAACAAGTCTGGTGTTTTAAGGAACAAAAAGGCCAGTGTGGAGGTGACATTGGAGAGAAGCAGTCACATCAGGTAGGGCCTTGTTAATTAAGCTGAGAAACTTGATCTTACTGTGTATGTACTGGAAAGCAAGTTTTGAGCAAGGGAGTGACTTTGATTTTCTTGCCAAAAAAGTGGTCCTGGCTGACTATGGGGTCAAACATGGAAGCCTAGGTAGGACGTTCTTAACAGTGGTTCTTGGGAGAGATGATGGAGGTCTGGGTTGAAGTGATGAGAAGTGACCAGAGGAGAGAGTTACTTCGGAAATAGGGCTAATAGGACTCTATGACTGACTAGATGTGGGGTTGGAGTGAAACTCCCGAATCTTTGATCTGGGTAATGAGATCAGTGATTGATGGTGCTATTTAATGAACAGTGATAACTTGGGGAAGAATAGTTTGAGATGGTATGTTCTGCTCAGGTGTCAGTATGGAAAGTCAGGGAGTTAGGTATGAAGGAGAGAGAGGAGCCAAGAGTTGACAGTGTATGCACAAAATTGATTATACTGACAGGCCATGGAGTTTCCGAATAAAGAGGAAAGCAAGGCCATAAAGGGGATGATGGAAAGTGAAGTGGCCAGTGAAATGGCAGCCCAAGCTGAGTAGAAGAATTGTTTGAGTGAGGATTCTAGAGTTAGAGAGCTAGAAGGATAGAATGTGGTGGACAGTGTATGGGACTTGTGAAATGAAGATTTTACAGATGGAGTTATATCAATAGGAGCTCTGGTGGTAATGTGGTTAAAGCTTTGGCTGCTAACCAGCAGGTCAGCAGTTTGAACCCACCAGCCACTCCATGAGAGAAAGATGAGGCAGTCTTCTTCCGTAAAGATTTACAGCATCAGAAACCCTATGGGGCAATTCTACTCTGTCCCCTAGGGTTGGTATGAGTTGGAATCGACTCAATGGCAGTGGGTATAGTTATCAGTTATGAGCTCTGGGAATGGGTGCCTGGGGGTGGGGTAGAAATTAATGGAATAGAATGATGGATCATACACATGCATCAACATAGTGTGGTTTGTGTTGCAGAACAAGATTGTGGACCAGTGTGAAAGGCTGCAGTTGCAGAGTGCTGGCATCACCAAGTATGTGGCTGAGGTCCTGACGGGAAAGAACCAGAGAGCAGTGGTAATTCTTCCCTCGTCCCTCTGCTCTTGGCCCACTCCAAGGAAAAGACCCCAACCTTAAGGGATTGTATCAGCCCATGGTTCCTTCCCATCCTCGCTACCAGTAGAGCTGCTCGTAGTCCAGGAAGGAGGGTTTCCCATCTCCCTGAGCCGTATTTTCACCATCTCAGCAGAGTGACCATATTCTCAGGCACACACTGGGTATAAAGACTGTTAGCAAACAGTTTTCTTATGTATTTTGGCATAAGGTCACATTCCTCTGCCACCTAATTAGTTTGTGCACAGTCCCAGAATTATAACGTTACCTAGGGACTTTCATATTTCTTATGACAATTTTATACAATAGGTAGCAATAACATCCCCGTTTACAGAGGAGAAATGGGTCTCATAGATGCTAGTTGACTTGCCTAAGGTCCCACAACCTCCCTGCGAGGGTCAGTTCTATTCCTTGGGTCTTCTGCCTCCAGGCCAGTGCTCCTTCTGCTTCGTCCCGCTGCCCATCCTTTTTTCAGCGCCCCACTGCCACTGGTGTGTCTTCACTCTCAGCCATGCCACTTGTCCTTCACGGGCAGAGGCCCGGCATCACTTTCGGTCCATTCCCTTCCTACTGCTTATGGGACACGGGACAGACTTGGCACTGCCATAGTCAAGGCTCTTTTGATTGCATGGAACAGAACCCTATTGAACTAGCATAAGCACAACAGGGAATTTCCTGGCAGGAAACAGGGATCTTTCAGAACCTAAAGGAGACCGGAACAAGGAGCCAGAAACTGCTAGGAGTCCAGGCAGATAGTCTGTCTGCCTCTGTTTCTCTGCATGATGACCTCTCTGTTTTCTCTCTCTGTCTCATTTCCCTCCTTTTTTTTTTTTTTAATTTGGGTGAAAGTTTACAGAGCAAAGTCATTTTCCATACAGTGGTCCATACACGCTTTGTTTCATGACATTGACTACAGTTTCCCACAATGTAACAACTTTCTTCCCACTTCCTCCCTGTGCACTCCTGTGACCTTCTTTCCTGTGCATTCCTGCCCCTTGAGCTGTCTCCCTGTGCAAATACTGCCCTTCTGTTCTCCCATGATTGATCATTCTAAGGAATGTATCTACCTGATGTGAATGTTCACCCTATATGCCTGTCTACTGTTTGGCTGGAAGCCACAGGAGTGAGTTCAATTCCAGACCTGAAGGGTAAATCCTTTCTATTTTCTCGATTCACTGCACTAGCTAGGACCTCAGTAGAATGTTGAATAGACGTTAGTGTAGCAGATCTTCATTCTAAGTGGAATATTTCCAACAATGCACCATTCATTTATTCAACAAATCTTTATCAAGTACCTCCACGTGGCATACACTGTCTTTGTGTTGGGGATTCCATAGTGAACAAAACATATAAGAGCTCCTGTTTTCATGAAGTCTGCAGTCTACTCAGGGGAAAGGGACAATGGCAAATATGTCAGAAGAATGAACACATCTGTCTTTGAAGAAGTATAGCCACCATGCTCCTTAGAAGCAAGGATAGCAAGACTTCAGGTTACAAAGGACCAGTCTCTAGAGAAGGACGTCATACTTGGTAAAGTAGAGGGCCAGCAAGAAAGAGGAAGATCCTCAGCTACATGGGTTGACACAGTGGCCGCCACGAGGGGCTCAAACATTGCAATGGGTGTGGGGATGGGGCAGGACCAGGCAGGGTTTCTTTCTGTTGTAATGGGTCGTAATGAGTCAGAATTGACTTGACAACACCTAACAACAACAACACAATAGAAGGAGATGCTTTGTTTTTTTAAGATAAGAGAGGTTATATTTATATACGAAGTTGGTAGGAATGGTTCAGTAGAGAGAGGAAAATTAATGATGCCAGAAAGGTACAGCAAAGGGAGATAGATGGCTTCTAGTAGACAGGTGGAAGTGTTGGCCTTGGATAAGAACATAGGCAGTTTATCTACCAAACAGGGAAGGCAGCGTATGTGAACATGGTGCAGGTAGTTAGGTAAGTGATGACAGGAGCTTCTGAGAGTTCTTTTCTGATTGCTTCTATCTTTCATCAATTATCATCTTTGCTGTATGTTCTTGGTTATATCATTTGTCAGTTTATAGGTATGTTTTGGTCTCTATCAATGTTAATGTGATAATATGTTAATAAATCTTCTAATGCTAAACAATCTTTGTATTCCTGGGAAAAACCAACCTAACATGATTATGATTTTTTAAAAAACTTTTTATTTTTAAGATAATTGTAGATTCACATGCAATTAAAAGAAATAAGATAGTGAGACCCCCATATGTTCTTCACTCAGTTTTCCCCAATGATAACATCTTACATAACTATATAATAAGATATCATAACCAGTACATTGCCATTAATACACTCTACCTTATTCACATTTCACCAATTTTATATACATTCGTGTGTGAAATATATTTAATTCTATACAAATTTATCACATGTATAACTTGGTGTGACTACCACCAAAATCAAGCTGTAGAAAGATTTCATCACAAGGATCCCTTGAGCAACCCTTTGTAGCCACACCCACCTCCCTCTATTCCCATCCCCTAGTATTATTGTTAGTATAAAATTACAAAATGCCTGAATTTGGATTGTTCATCTTAGTTGAAGGAGCCCTGGTGGCACTATAATGAGCTTGGGTGACCTAGTGGTTAAAACATTTGGCTGCTAACCAAAAAGTCAGTGGTTCAAACCCACCAGCCCCTCTGCAGAAGAAAGATGAGGCAGTCTGCTTCCATAAAGATCTATGGCTTTGGAAACCCTGTGGGGTCTCTCTGAATCAGAATTGACTCAGTGGCAGTGAGTGAGGTGGCACAATGGTGAGGCACTAAGCTACTAACTGAGAGGTTGGTGGTTTGAACCCATCAGGGGCTCCAAGGGAGAAAACACCTTG